TGTAAACGAGAATGTGTGTATGGAGTGTGTGTGTTACACTAGAAGAGTCAGAGTTTGGGACGGAGTCTTTTACCCCCTGGAGTGTTACCGGAGTTTGTGGAGTGCTCAAATAAACTGGCCTTTTTCCCGAACACTACTCCGGTCTCCTGCTCGTGAGGGATTCATTACAATATCGTAACATGGTTTAGATTTCTAAATAAACATTTACCTCGTCGCTAGATAGACCTACTCCTGAATAACTCGTGTCTGCGTAAGGCTTTTTGTCCCTACGAGGCCACCGTCATTTACCCGACGGGAGGGGTGAGCGAGTGAGCCGTGCAATCTAGAATTTGACCACTGATGTCACTGTTTTCAACGGTTTTCAACCCATTTTACACACTGGGCCTTTAAGGTATCTTGTTTGCTGTACATATACATACACCAAAAGATGTAAAATATGTTAAACTAATGTAAAATCTTACATCAAATGGCGAAGAGGGGAAAAAAGATTTGAAAAACTCAATTTCAGTCATAAATTTTATCATTGTATGTAACATCCAGCTGTGAGAGAAGTGCTCGGATCCTTTACTTAAGTAAAAGTAGAAATACCATAGTCTAAAAATACTTAATTTCAAGTGTAAGTCTTTTATCCAAATTTTTGCTACAGTTAAAGTACAGAAGTAGTTTCTGCAAAATGTATTTAAATCATCGAAAGCAGTGGTTATAATGTTCTGTTTTTATTACTAACAATTCCATACATGTCAGAGCATTTTAATGTTGTGGTTTATAAATGCAGAGACAGATTTAGATGCTTTGTATACTACTTTGTAGCTTAGCAATATACTGTAGTACTACATCATATCATATGTATTAAGGTAGTAAAAAGGACAATATTTTCCTAGTGCAGTAGAAATATAAAGTTGCATAAAATGGAAATTCTCAAGTGAAGTACATGTCAAGTTTGTAATTAAAGGAATACTTCACCCCCCAAATGTCCATTTGTGTATCCGTCACTCACCCAGTGTTACGTTGAATTTGCGAACTTTGGTTTCTAACATGCCTCTTGGGAACGAAGAATTCAAAAACTATTCCTGAGGAATTGAAGCGATAGGGGTCCACTTTTTACAAAGCGTCCATTTACAAACTCTCACACAGCTTGTGCAGTATAATCCAAGTCTCATTTATTCAGTCGTATAATCAGTACTTCTTAAACACATGCATTTGGCTAAAATTGTATGATTTAAAACTGGACTGATAGTAAACGTATCTAAAGCCAGACTCCATTGAGAAAAACAGCAATTTTACCTTGACAAAAACAGGAGCTGCTGGTCTACCTCTGCCTCAGTCAGTTACAGTGTTGGGTAAGGGTTACTTTAAAAGTAATCAAAGTACGTTACTGCTTTACTTTTTAAAAAAGTAACCAGTTACTTTACTGCATTACTCCCTGAGTAAAGTAACTCAATTACTTTAAAAGTACTTCCAACGTTACTCCCTGAGAAAAGTAACTCAAGCACTTTTATAGTACTTTTGAGTATTCTACATTTCCTATTGGGCAATGGACCACAGGGCGCTAAGCCTACATTTTTTTGTCTCCAAAATTAAAGTTATGGACCACTTGCCCTTCACTGAGATCCAATTCTCCCATCACAGCCGTCACTTTGACCAGTAGAAACACAGAACGATCTGCTGCCGTAGACAACTGTATGACAACAACACCCCAGCATTTTTAATATTTCAACGGCAGCATTTCTCCGACCACGTAGCGAGCCACAAGCTCCGTGGCTTCTTTCAGACTGATAGGTTTAACATTATCTCCGTTATTAGAACCAAACGACAGCCGTTGCTGTTTCGGAGCTGAAGGACTAGCGTTCTAAAAGTAACGGAAGTAACTGATGTCTTGTTTGAAAATGTACTCAAGTATTTGATTACTCAAACAGCAAACAAACGCGTTAGGTTACTCGTTACTGTAAAAAGTAATCAAAGTACTCTAACGCGTTATACCCAACTCTGGTCAGTTAGTTAGTTTGTGTTGTAGTGTGCCTTTGGTGTTTTAAAGGGTTAATTTGGATTCACCAGAGTCACACAATAACACAAAGAAACCACTGAACAAAGCAGTGAAAGACCAGCAGCTCCTGTGTTCAACAAGGTAAAATTACTGTTTTTGTCATTGGGAGTATGGCTGTGAAGAGAGCAGAGATGAGTTTTACTTTCAGTTCAGTTCTCCTTCAGAGAGAGCTGTTGGTTTGACAAGTACTGGGCATCAACCGGATAAATAAGACTTGGAATATACTGCATGAGTTGTGTGAGAGCTTGTAAACCATTTTTGGATTCCTAGTTGTAATTGTACTTAGTTATATTCAACCACTGATAGAGCATTGATGGTTGCAAAGCATCAAATGTCAGCTGTATTTTAATGAATTCACCCTTTACTCGTGTGTTTCATCCTGTTTAGGTAACTTTGAGCTGGTGAGTTTGCTTTTGGAAAGAGGGGCCGACCCCATGATCGGGACCATGTGTCGAAACGGCATCTCCTCTGCCCCTCTGGGAGACATGAACTCATACAGCCTGGCAGCAGCACATGGCCACAGGTAATACAGGCAGTCACACACATGGACACACACACACAGACACGGGGACACATACACAAGCGCCAGCCAGCAGAGACATATCTATTACCACGGTATTGATCCATTTACACACTGTGCCCTGGTCCATCTGCCTCTCACAGAATCCTGCAGTATATATATGAGAGGCAGATATCTCGCTGTCAGACAGAAGGCGACGATAAGCGCTGCAGTCCATTCAGCAGCACTTATGGCTTTGGTTTGACATCATTTCCCCGCAGCTGGGTTAGATAAAGCCCATTAACATTCAGGGCAGTGAGAGCTGTCAGGAAGGAGCTGGAGTGGTAAGCCAACAACACAATGCAGCATTATTAAGACAATCAATTATAGTATGATGATGATGCTGCAGCGCATCGTGAGCAGACTCAAACTGCATTAGGATTGGTTGTGAGATGGTGGGGCGTGAAAGTTCACACTTAACGCCAAGTTTGTAAACAGGGTAAGGAGAAAGAGATGAAATGAGAGGGAGACAGCAGCATTTACAAATAAGATAACACTTATTCTGTTTCGGAAATGTGACTTAAGACGCATCTAGACTGTGTTAGATAAGCAGATGAGATCTATTTTATTTTGTGCAATTTGTTGAGAGATTAGACAGGTTTAGCCATGATTAGCATTAATCTGAAAGCAGGAAAAGGCTAGCATCAACAACAAAAACCAGCTATAGACTTGTATTGTATCTTGTTGGCTTGTAAGTAAGGAACGCTTTAGTCATAGAAAACTTGGTTTCCATTTCTCAGTGTTATATTTGGCTGTATGGCTCTGTTCTGCCCTTCCACGCACCTACGTGGAAATCCTGAGGCAGAGAGAGCACACCTCCCCGCCCTTCCATGAGCCTCCATGGAAAGCCTAACCCCCAAATTCCACCAGATGCGTGTTGGTTGCGTCTGTGCTCTGGAACAGCAGCGGAGCCGATCCGTTTCAATTCTAGTCAATGTGTATGTTTCCACCGGCTGCGGCTGTGCTGCGTTCCGGCTTCGTCACAGCTGCAGCACTCCGGAGCCCTCCGCAACAGATACACAGGACTTCTATTTTTGCAGGACGCCGGAGCACAACGCAGCGATCCGGGACAGGAAGTCGTGCACAGAAATAATATAAAACATCCGGTTTATTTTCAAAATAAAATACACAGTGTTCACGGCAGATCATATTTCCCTGCACTACACCTTGAAAACTACATAATGGACAGAGGCAGGCCTAAAGTCAACAGGTCAGAGGTTTTCAGACATCATTTCACCCCGTTGACACCATGGACGAGGAGATGTTAATCATGGAGGTGCACCGAGATGTCTTCCTACTACTCCTCTGGTTTTGTGGTTATGTTTATAGAAACTACATCTTGTTATATCGCATGATTATGCGTGAATTCGCGAGATCTCGTGGGTCCTCGTGACCCCTGCTGTCCGGCGGACCTGCACCGCACCGCACAGCAAACACAGCCGGTGGGTGTTGACGGACGGTGGAGCACGCAGCGGATAACCAGCGCTGCCGTTCCGCAACGGATACGCATCCAGGGGAATTCCGGCGTAAGGCAGGGAGAGCAGCAGCAAAGACCCCCCCAGGAACAGAACAGAGCAGCATCACTGACAAACAGAAATGACATTGATTAAGTCAGACACAACATGAAAAGGAGGAGCTGGGGTGGAGGCAGGTTGCAAAGTGGCTTACAGAGGAAGCAGCAACAGTAGGCAGGCCAGAGCAGTTTAAATAGGGCGCCATGAATGAGATTCACCAACTGGTTGCATAGAAAGGAATCATGTGATCAATCAGCTGACTCCCTTCCATCAATCAGCTGCTCCATCAGTTGGTTGGCTGTTTGAGATCAGCTGATGTAGCTGGGATGTGAGCTGAGCTGGACATCGTGTCCTGCCTGAACTAACGCTATGCTCAACTTGAAGTTCATCTTAGTGTCCTTGTGGCAAAAAAAGAACACAACCATCCCTTGCAAGTTGATTGCGAAGGTTCCAAAAGTTGCCGCGGCACTTAGTTGTACACCTCTGAATTTTTGTAACTAGGCACCCACTGCACACACCACGCTTCTTAGTACAGCAGGAAATACTGGCCAAGAAGGTTCACCTGTACAGACATCTCTTTAACTCTTCACCAAGAGACCATAGAGATGGTCAGATGACCTTAAATTCTTGGAAAGAAATAGTCACCACCACACTCAGGAAAGAAGAACATGAGTGATGACTGTAAAAGCTAAACACAGGCCTCATGGAAAGTGTGACGACCTGTGGGGAAATCAAAGAGTATAAACTAATTTCGACTTGGAAGTAAGCGACAATAGCAATTATAGAACACAAATGCAATGTTTGTCTAAATGTCGGTGTTTCATGCTGTTCCCAAGCAGCCTACTCTCACGGAAGCACTCATTTACTTCTGTCTTATCTACAGAGTATTTTGTTTCTACGCTCCATGGTGTTACAAACAACACACTGGGTATGCTCATAGCTCATGTGCCATATTTGGAGGTGTGTGTGTAACAAGGCTCTACCTGGACTTTTGTTACTAGAAAAATGTACAGTGCTTTATATTGAGGACAGAGCGTCTGTGCAGCTACTAGGCTCAGCTGTCATTGGTCACTTGACAGCTCCAATGCATAAGTTAACTGCTCATTAAACCTAAACCAATATTTCTTTTTATGTCCAGATGTTAAATACACAAAATAAATGTGTAAATATTTGGAACTGGAAGTCTGCTCTCCCTGCTTCTAGTCTGTGTGCTAAGCTAGCTAAGCTAAATGTGTCACAAGGCTATTTCAATCTTCTCATGTAACCCTCAGTAAGACAATATATGAGTCTGTTTCCCTATATGGGCCTCATGCACAGTAAGGTGCCTAGCCTGCATCGGCTTACATACACTTAAAACATAATAAACAAGAGAACAAAACATAATGACAGCAAAAGAAGAAATATAATACACATCCATGCCTGTCACACAAAGCCAAAGGATGTCAAAGCAAATATAAGAACAATCCTGCTGCTTCGACTTTATAAAACATAACTGAGGCACATGTGAGGCACAGACTGAGCCTTTAACACATCAAACATAAGGCGCCCTCCTACACTCTTGGCAGGGATTTAACACACTGAGCTGGAGGTGACTCACTTTGTCTGTAAACAGGTACTGAAGTCTGCATTCATCAGACACACTGTAGGAAACAATCAGGACACTCTGCAGACGTTTTAAGGAAATGTCTGTGTCTCAGACTGTGATTAATGGACAATAGAACGAAAAGTGCATTTCAGCCTCCCCCAGATCAAACAGGTGACACTTTCTATTCTCCTCTGGAACTGAGTGGAGCCGGTTGGTTTCTAGCACCAGAGCCAAGATACCACATCTCAGCTGGTCTCAAGTCTCAATATGTGTGTCACCATTAAATCAGACTGAATATGCCGACTTGAAAAGGTGTGTTTTCAGGCGGGATTTGAAAGTGGAAAAAGAATCAATATTGCCAGTGTCATGGGGGAGAGAGTTCGAAGCAGGGGATAGAACGGCTGAAGGCTCTATAACCTATGGTAGTACGTTATATGCTTACTTTTTGGCCAGAAGTATGTGGACACTCCACTCTGTGTTAGGGCTGTACCCAGATATTCGGATATTCGAATATTCGTTTCTGTGGGTAAGTATTTGTTATGAAAATTTTGTATTCGATATTCGTTTTTTTATTTACTTTTTTTTATTATTATTATTATTATTTATTTATTTTTTAAAAAAATTTTTTAGAAAAAAAAAAAAAAATTTTTTTGTTGGTAAATGTAGGTTATCAATAAAAATCAAAACTTTTAAATTGTATTGTTAAAAATGTGAAAATATAGTATAGACTACCAACTGAGCTTGTGCGCACGGCAGGCTTGAGCACATCCGTCTGAGGCTGTGGATCAATGCCAAGTTTTACCACTTTATCACTAATCCCTCTAACTTGTAGCTGTTTTTTCGTTATCTTTTGAATTTAATATGAATTATAGAACCGTTTTTGTCAACGTTTGTTTCCCCTGTTTTGTACAATAAATTATTGTTTAAAGTTTCAACAAGTTTCTTTTGGAGTGTGTGACACAAGTGTGTTTTGAAAACAACCGCGGACTGTCACCTGCTCAACGCATCAGTACCTTCGGATGCCATGACAGTAATAGCCAATAATGTAAAAATATCATTTACAGACTGATTTAACAGATGATCACTGCTGCCCGACCCGCAGGTCCATTTGCGGGTCCCGCGGGTTACGGGTCGACCAGCACATCACTACTCAGCTCAGTCTATAAAGGCTGTACATAACAGTAGACATTATATTCTATTCAGGCAGGCAGAACCAGCAGCACATCGGCTCTACAGTGCACAACACTGCTGATTAACCATTTTATTGCAGCACAGAGTGTCTGCCAGCAACCAATTACTTGCAGAGGCTTCCTACAACTTGTTTCAACAGTTCCGATTTAATCAGAAGACAAATTAAACAGGATGACTAGCCAATGTGAAAATCAAAAGAAAAACCCCCAGAAAATTTGGTGTAGAGAAACTTGGCAGGCCTGCACAGAGCCCTGACCTCAACCTCCATCTAACACCTTTGGGCTGTGAGTCAGTCCTAGTCATCCAACATCAGTGTGAGACCTCACCGATGCTCTTGTGGCTGCATGGGAGGAAATTCCTGCAGCCAGTCTACGAAATCTGATGAAAAGTCTCATGGGAAGAATGGAAGTTGTTGTAGCATAACATGAATGCCCATGGTGAAAGAATGAGATGTTCAGTAATCACACAAAGATGTAATGTTTGAGTGTCTGCATACTTCCGCAATGTCCCTGGACTATTCGTTCATTCCTGTTGGGGGTCACGAGGGGCTGGAGCCTGTCCCAGCTGACATTGGTTGAGAGGCGGGGTACACCCTGGACAGGTCACCAGACTATCACAGGGCTGACACATAGAGACAGACAGCCATTCACACTCACATTCACACCTACGGACAGTTTAGAGTCACCAATTAACCTGCATGTCTTTGGACTGTGGGAGGAAGCTGGAGCACCCAGAGAAGACCCACGCTGACAGAGAAGCAGAGAAACTCTCCCTCATCCCAGGATTCGAACCAGGGTCCCTCTTGTTTGTAGGCGACACCACTGTGCCACTGTCCCTGGACCAAACCAGAGAAAATACTAATCTGTATCGGTGTACACTCAGACCCCGGGGACTGTTAGCAGAGATCAAACACCGATTTATGAACAGGTTCAAAGTGATGGCAGTGAACCTCCCACCGTCTTGTCATCAGTGATCAAACAATCTCAGAAACAGGATGTGATGTCGTGTTGGACTTGGCCTCTAAACGAGCCCCTCCTCGCTAAAGCAGATGGTGCAGTGATGCATCCTCAAGCTGTGATCACACCGTATACATTACGTGCTGCATCAGTCTGTTGCAGAAACAGTGCGTTGCAATGTTGCAAACAGTACTAATGAATCTGACGACAAACACAAATGTTATATTGCAATTTTGTCCTCTCTTTTTAGAGGCAATAATCAGTCTCGGCTTCATATATTTTGACTCTACAGAACTGAGTACGCAATCGAGCTTAATTAAGTACGTGAGAATATTTTGAGTGCCATCAGAGCTGGAGAGCTGGATGGGTTTAATGTGGAGTTAACACAGTACGTGTATGCCTAATTTAGAACCATTTTCCGGTCTGTGATCATCCACTTCACAGCTCCTCTTCTACTGTTTGACCCGGGGCCATGCTAGGTGTTTTGCAGTGCTCTCACCTCCTCCCCATAGCTTGAATCCCTTTTTTTACTTCTTCCCCTGACCATAAAACAATCCGTCACCCTGCTTCTCTTTAATCTCTGTCTGGGTTTTTATTTTCTACCTCTGTCCCTCCAGGAATGTATTCCGGAAGCTGCTGTCCCAGCCAGAGCACGAGAAGGGGGACGTGCTGTCCCTGGAGGAGATCCTGGCCGAGAGTTTGGACCCCGGGGAGAAGAGGTTGGCGCCGCAGGCCAACGGTGGAGGGACGCTGCGAACAGGAAAGGCCAAACTGAGGGCCCTGAGAGAGGCCATGTACCATAGCGCAGAGCACGGCCATGTGGACATCACCATAGACATCCGCAGCTTAGGTCAGATTTACTAATACATGCTTCACTGGCACACATGCATCGCTCTCTGGTGCCTCCAGCTGTCCTGGAGATGTGCTCATGCTGTGCCTGTCCTGTCCCGTCCTGTCCTGTGCGCTCTCTCAGCTATCACCGCTACTCATCCAGCCATGAAACAGTCGCAGGACTTTTTTATATCTGAGGCGATAGCAGGTTGGGTCAAAGGTGTGAGCATGATGATGAAGAAGTTTCCTAAAGCAGTGCTTATTCTTTACATGTGGCAATCATCATCTTTCACCTCGACATTGTTCAGTCCATTTGGAACTGAGTAGGATTGACTACCTTTATTTGAGTTTACAAAACAGTCTCATTACAAGTCCCATTTGGTAACTGTTCTTGACTTTTTGGTTGTATCCATAGATTGTATGTAAAGATGGACGACATGTCTCCACTTCTGCTATTCTAGAAAAATGAAGCCAAAATCTTCCAGATACGAAGGCTACCATTTTACGCTGGTGACATCATTTGGAGCCAGAATCTGCACAGTATTGATTCAGGGGTAGAGCCACGATATCAGGTTCATCAGAAAAACAAAAATTGTAACAAATATCAGCATGATAAGAACTACCTAAAATGACAGAAACTAACTTTGGGAAAAACTTATTTGACGTGTAATTTGATGTTTAAGTTTGGTCCATGTCCCATCAGCTAGCGGCTAACATGAAGGGGACGGGATTTATGATCTATAGAGACAGAGCACAATTAAGGCTTGCCTACACCTGAGGGAAAAACAGTTTATTGGAGCAAGTTGACGAAATCCGGCTGTGACTTGCAGTGTCAGAAACCAACAAAAAAATGAGTCCTTTAATGTCAGCATGATATGCGGCCGGTTGCAGTTATAGTTTAACAGCGCTCTGCGTCAAATCTGATGTTTTTCTCTAGCTACAGCCATTTTGTTAGCATTTCAGCCTTTTGTTGCAAATTGTGGCGCCAATCGTTTTCCTCTCCTGTGGCCGTGGTAGACGTCTGACTCTGTCTATATACTGCAGCCAACCACCCGGGTTCACTTCTGGGAAGCTGTCATGCCGTCCATCTTTATATACCGTCTATGGTCTAATCACTCAGTCCTCAGCAGATAGAGTTAACTTGAAATTATACAGGTTCAATTTCAGTTTGACGCTTTGAGAAATACTCTTATTTGCTTTCTTGATGAAGGGTAGATGAGCAGATGATACACTCTCATGTCCGCACAGTATATATGAAGCAAAAGGCAGCGGCTAGTTAGCTTAGCTTAGCATAAAGACTGGAAACAGCTCTGTTGCATCTTATATGTTTAATACTCCAAAACCCAAAGTGTAAGTAAATAAGTTGTGGTTGTACAGGGGGTAAAAACGAGATAAAATGTGTCAGGTACCAAGCTTTAGACAAACAGCTGGTAAACTGATTTTATTGCAGTACAAGCATGATGACTGCCCATGTGCTAGAAAAGTAAACTGGACGATTGTTTTGTGGACTTCATGTATAAACTGTATTCTCTGTCCTGGGTTTTCCTTTGTTGAAATTTTATGTTGTTCAGCCAAATACAACAAACAAAGGAACTTCTCTTTTTGCTGTCAGGAGCTCGCCATCATATTTTCGTGTGTGTATGTGTAGAACGTGTCTGCGTATAAATATATGAATGTTTTTGTATGAATATAAAAGCCTGTGTGTCTGCTGCCTGTGTGCAATTCTGCTGCTGTCTGTGTGTCTGTACTGACGGGTGATCAAGGCTTAACTGTCTCCCCCTGTTTCCAGTCTTTGTGCTAACCTTAGCTAACCTTCCTCTGGCTGTAGCTTCTAAAGGGACCTTGTGGTGAGATCCTTTTGTCAACTACTGTTTCCAAAGTCAAGAATGAACTCAACCTATCTTGATTTTGTGCTATAGAGTGTCGGAAAATAATGAAAAATGCCCATCACAAGCTCCCGGAGCCCAGTGTGACCTCTTTAACCTCTTCCACTCCACTAGAAGACCATTCCGAGGCTGTAGATGGCTTTTAAAGCTAGAGTGGTTTGATATTAAACTAGAAGACCTCAGGAGTCCATTGGTGCCAACTAGCTTGCCATGAAGGGGGTTAAATGATGCTCCAAAGTTAGGCCAAAAAACATGCATGGTCATTTTCACAGGGGTCCCTTGACTTCTGAATACCTACGAATCTCGTCTCATCAAATGCAGTTTTGGGCAAAAACCATGCAGCTTTTTGCATGCAGTACAGACATGTTTTTTCTGCCTATTATACCTGAATATATCTGCATACTGGGGTCCCTTAACAGCCTTGGAATTGCATAAATTTGCAAGACTGGAAAGCTGAGACTTTTGTGGAATCAGTGAGCCCAGTTTTGTTCATGTGTGATGATTTTAGTCCCCATAGTAGCCATTTTATTGTAGCAAGACCATTTTTTAAAAAAACAGAATGACCTATTGTGACCTCTTGGATAATCACAGGCTCATGAAACTTTACAGCAACAAACCTCAGGCATGCAGAGGATGGATGGCTTTTATAGGCATATTTACAATAAGGGAGTTTCTCAGCAGTTTCCAGAAAAGAAGTCTTCACCATCCAATTGTTGATGAATTCAGTTCTTACAGAAATCTCCAAATTTAGAGGGGTTTTGATCACAAATTACAGCATGAATTTTTCTTTGGTGTTCCTCAAGCTTTTGGTGTCTTAATGTGGTATTTTGGAGGGATTTGTGAGCATTTTGATCGAATCTCCAGTCATCAAACTTGCTTCAATTTAGCACCAAATGTGTGTAACAGATGGTATCAACCTAAAAAATGCTGCAGCAACTTAGGAGACATAATTGATCAAGGGAATGGCTGTCATGTACTTCTATCATACTGTTCTAAGCCCCTACACACTCTAAACTTAAAACACAATGTAAATGTCAGATTTATGATGATTAAAAAGTTGCTGCATCTTAAATCAATCGTCATGTTCCCTGCTTTTCGATGATGCATACCACTTGATTCCAGATACCAGATAATGCGCCTGACATATACTGCTGACCTGCTGTCTCTCCCTAAAGATCCCCTGTCGGCCCTACAAAGACATAAAATGGTCTATGATAGAGAGTAGGAGAGGTTAAAGTGCTTGTTTTGTCCGATCAAGAGTCTAAAATCCAGAGATAACACATTTAGGAATATATGAAACATAAAAAACAGGCAAATACTCAAATCTGAGAGGCTGGAATCAGCAAATTTGGCTTGATGAATGATTAACCGCTGACTGGAATTGATTAACTTTCTACTCCATTAATCATCTCAACAGAGCTGTCAATACACAAAGCCTCCACTGTCATATCATTATTTATGTTAATCTCACATCCAGAGCTCATCATATTGTTCCAGAACATTGCAGCCATTTTTTACAGGACATTTTTTAATTATATTCAAGTGCTGCGTTTATATTCCTGCCAGAGTTCTCTCACTAACCCAACACTCACCATGCAGTCACCCTTCAACTCATGCAAACACCACCAAAGTGATGGAAACATGGTCGGTTCTGTCGCCCTTGAACACTGCTCTGGCTCAAATCGGCTCTGCCGTGCACAAGTATGTATTCACTGTTCGTGTGGTGCTGTTCCCAGGTGTTCCCTGGACGCTGCACACCTGGCTCGAGTCCCTGCGTACCTGCTTCATCCAGCACCGCCGACCACTGATCCAGGGCCTGCTCAAAGACTTCAGCTGCATCCAGGAGGAGGAGTACACAGAGGAGCTCATCACGCACGGCCTGCCGCTCATGTTCCAGATCCTCCGAGCCAGCAAGGTCACCAGGGCTTTCTTTCATGTGCATGTAAACAAAATGCTTGTTAGAGAAACATCTGACAAAGTAAGGCTGGGTTGCTGGGAGTACAAACTGTCCTGTGCTCGTGTGCTGGGGTGACATTAACACTCATATTTGCATATATTTAGTTGCACTCCAAACTATATTATCATACATTTGCATAAGATTTGAGCTCATGGAAAACAGAGGCCAGAAAACCATAATCTGTATAAAGTTTCTGTCCTCACTTGTGTCGGTGTCTGTCTGCAGAACGAGGTGATAAGCCAGCAGCTGTCAGTCATTTTCACGCAGTGCTACGGGCCCTTCCCCATCCCTAAGCTGACAGAGATCAAGAAGAAGCAGACCTCACGCTTAGGTAAGAGAGCAAGTTAAAAATAGTGACTGTTCCTGTCTCGTACTTTCTGCATTAAATGAAGCTGAGTGACGAGCGACTGACATTAGGGGGAGAGTTAAAGTGGGGAGCTGAGAGATTCTTGTTTTGTGGGAGGAGATGTCTTAAACTGTTGAGGTAGGAGATCACTTGGTAATTAAACTGTGCTTAAAGGTCCTGTCACACCAAGCTGGTGGTCAGCTGTTGGTCAATGTCTGGCTGTCTATGAGCGTCTGTTGCCCAGGCCCCCAGGAACGATCCCCAGGGGCCAGCGGGAGAAACACTACTGTGCATATTAAGTGGGCATATCAGAGAAGTAAACCCAGAAGCTAGCAACTCCATTGGAATGAATAGGCGCCATCTTGGGTCCTGGCATCTAGGTTTTATTAGAAATCGATGCCATTGCCCTAGTTTTTGTGATGTGTCCCAGACCGTTGGCACTAGTCGGCCCTTGTTGGCTTTTTTTACACTCAGGCACACCTATTCAACTGCTCATAAGTGGAAATAGCTAATCTGCCAATCAAGTGGCAGCCACTCAGTGCATTTAGGCATGTAGACATGGTGAAGACGACCTGCTGAAGTTCAAAGTGAGCATCTCAATGAGGAAGAAAGGTGATTTAGGTGACTTTAAACGTGGCATGATTGTTGGTGCCAGATGGGCTGGTCTGTCCATCTCTAGGGTTTACAGAGGATGGTCCCAAAAAGAGAAAATATCCAGTGAGCCAAAATGCCTTGTTGATGCCAGAGGTCAGAGGAGAATGGCCAGACTGGTTCAAGATGATAGAAAGGCAACAGGAAGTCAAATAACCACTGGTTACAACCAAGGTGTGCAGAAGACCATCTCTGAAGCAACAACACCTTGTCCAACCTTGAAGCAGATGGGCTACAGCAGCAGAAGACCACACCAGGTGCCACTCCTGTCAGCTAACAACAGGAAACTGAGGCTACAATTCACACAGGCTCACCAAAACTGGACAATAGAAGATTGGAAAAATGTTGCCTGGTCTGATGAGTCTGGATTTCTGTTGCCACATTCAGATGGTAGGGTCAGAATTTAGTGTCCACAGTCACCAGATCTTAATCCAATAGAGCACCTTTGGGATGTGGTGGAACGGGAGATTCTCATCATGGATGTGTAGCCGACAAATCTGCAGCAACTGTGTGATGTCATCATGTCAATAGGGAGCAAAATCTCTGAGTAACGTTTCCAGCACCTTGTTGAATCTGTGACACCAAGAATTAAGGCAGTTCTGAAGGCATAAGGGGTCCAGCCTGGTACGAGCAAGGTGTACCTGATAAAGTGGCCGGTGAATGTATGCTGATTTAGCATGTTGAATTGGCATTGAATGAAATCACTCTGATTGGCAGTTCAGTTCAGCGCACAAGAAAAGAAACACAAGTGAGGAAAGTAAACAAACGACTTAAGTCATAAAGGCATGAGATCAGAACAAAATTGTTATATCAATGCAGTTTTTTTTGGGCCATTAAGCTCTTAAGCAGAATTTTTTTTGTCACAAGTTTGTAATTGTCACAAGCACATATATCTTTCAACATGGGGTTGTGTTGTAAATCTGCTAACTGGCAAACTAGCATCTTGAAACCATCCTTGTTGGTCCTCCGGTTTCTCCTTTTCAACGATGAATACAGACTACCGCCGCCTGCCTGTATGCAGAGTTATTTCCTTTCACACTGGCGCAGAACGTAGGTGCTACTTGGCTGTTGGCTGTCGTCTTTGCGGTGTCTTCAATCCGACTTTCTGGCCAAGACACAGGAGATAAGAAATGACGCAACATTCGGCCTTGGTCGCCACTAGTTCTTTGGTGTCAGTTTGGTGTGTCTGGGCCTTTATACGATGCCGACAATGACTGCCTTTTTCCCTCAGATGTTAAGTTAATAAAGTCTCTGCAGGTGGAAACTTTGTTTTCCAGCAAATATTAAAGCTTTTATGAGCTAATTGTAGTTTAAATTGCTTTTGTAATGCATTGTTTCATAATGGCAAAAAGGCAAATATACACTGATCAAACTGGCACAGATTATTTCTTCAAATTGTTCTTCAAATGATCACAAGTATTACCTCTGTTTATTAACTAATACAACAATTTCTTTTGGCATTTGAGAAATATTGGCGCCTTTTAATTTTTAGTTGCATTTAGGATAAGCTTTTATTTTCACCAGAGTATCTGCAGGTCTCGACAAGCTCTCAGAAGCATTTCATTTGGAATTTGTAGAGGTCATCTGTGGTGTTAATCTCGTGCAAATCTGCCATGCCCCTAATTTGTCAAGTCAAAATTCCACTGCAAATTACCCACTATATTTCTCCCAACACAGAGGTCCTGTGATAATATTAGTCCTGTGCAAATCGGCATCTCAGTGATTTGAGGTCGTATTTAGTTTTTCTGTTTTCTCTGCTCCGTTTTTCTGCCTCTTTCCTGGTGGAGATTTATGGCAAATTATGGCTGTGTTGGGAGTCATTAATAAAGGTTGTGACAGCATTTTGGGTGCAGGAGGCTCATCTCGCTACACAGCACAGAGACCCATGCACAGAGAGAGCAACTTCCAATCCATCAGAGAAGCAAAATCGCGAAAGATGATGGGATGGATGACAATGTATGGCAGAGTCGGTTCTTTTTTTTACTTAATATGTTCATATCAATATAGACATTCAACAAAAGGACAACAAATAGACATACGACAAGCCCAACAATAACAAACACTGCAACAAAAGGTATAAAATAATACAATAGCACATTACTGTACAGTACTGTGCACAGGGCTGCTCAGTGTCAGTCTAACAGAGTCTGCATTCTGGAAGTGTGCAATCCCCATTTTTTTGGATTCATTTAAGGACTCTTTTTGGACAACGCACCCAGAGGTTTGAGCGCAGTGGTCTTTCCCAAAATAGTCTAACAGAGTTTCAAATATACCATGTTGAAACGTTTCAGAATTTATCCCACTTCAAGAAGTTGTGTCAATGATCATATCAGCTATTCGCTCCATACCAAGAAGACAACAACAGTATCATTCTATCCACCATTTCAATCAGGTGACACTCGTTTTTCATAGTTAAAGGAATATTCATTAACTAGCACATAAGAATGAAAAATGTGGAAAGTCTTTGGCGAAAAGACCCAGTAGAGATGGTGTGATTTAAGGAGGGTGATGAATCCATCGTCGAATAGGGAACCCCCGCTGGTGGTGGTAGAGGTGGTGAAGATGTGATGAGAAGAAGATGGAGAAATGCCGATGATCTGGATGAGAAGAGGAATGAGCCTTTGTTGAGCTTGTCCTGGACTCTGGATACAATGGCTGGAGGTGAACGGCCTAAAATGACAGCTGACAGCAGCAGAGGAGAGAGCAGATTTAACATTTTGCAGTAGCATCCTGATTGGCTGAGATCATGGCAAACTAGAAGAGTGAACACCAATAGTCAGCTGATTAGAGGAAGCAGTGGGAGTGGGATGGAGGCTGAATCCAAACATCCACCCTCTGGACCTGGAGACTGAGCCCTCACGGACTTCAATTGTACATAGAGTGATGTATTTACAGTCATCACATAAAGACTGCAAGTGGCTGATAGACAGCCCCTGACTGTTTTACTCGTTGCCGTAGAAACATTCAACTGCTGCTCTCATATTCATATATATGCCATATAAGTTGATGAACAGTGCCTACTCATCTGTCCCTGCAGATAACAAGATATAAATCCCATGTATGGCCTTTTGTGTGACTAAACAAATATGTAGGCTATTAATACATCTCTATATAACAGGCAATATCACTGCGCAGCCTGACAGGCTGCAATAATGAAATGTATTTTCAGTCCCTCTACAGCCTGAACTTAAACATATCTCTGTATCATGATGTGGTTGAATATTATTTCTGGCCTACGCAATTCAAGTAGCTTTTTAATAGACCTAACTATCATTAGCTATTTTACACATTCATAAGATATTTTGTTCGGCAGTTGAACAACCCACAACGTCACATCTGTATTGCAATGAATTGTGGGTTATTAAATCAGTAAAGCCTGCTGAAGTCTGCAGCCCAAGCAGACTCTCTGGAAGTCTGCAGAAAGTCAGCTTGAGGCCCCCTGTGGACTGGCTAGATTGTAGCTTTGGACAGCCCGAAGCACTCCCAAACTTCCCGTGAAAATACCCGCAAAGTCTGTCAAGTCAATTACCGCATGCATTTGTTTTGGAGAGCGAGAGGAAAATCAAAAATGTTCTGGTGTAGCTCTGAATTTCTTATAAACTGAGGACAACTGCCTGCTGTATATTTGTGTTCATGGTCAAAGTCACAGATAATTTTGTGGCGTTCGTTGTAACGTTACCAGACAAAAGCGGTTCACATCAGCTAACGTTACATTTAGCTTGCTTATAATTTCCATGTCGTCATATATTGAAGTGAAACAACGTCTAACAAGTTGCGGTATATTCTCTAAATAAAAACAAAAATGACATGCCTGTCGATTAGGAAAAGGGCCAACTCGGGATCAGTTTTAAAATCTTTCAAACCTCTCAGCTCTCTCCACTTGGTGAATGCCCGACTGAGGTTTACACGCTAGGGCTTGAGCCCTATCACTGTCCCATTAGCCTTCTTCTGTTCTTTTTCTTTTAGATGGTGCTCCTTCTTTATCCGCCATGACATTGAAAGTACAACCAAGTCCTTATAGATACATCTGGTAAAACTGTTATTTGTTCAGCAATGCCCGTTGGGTACCACATACTCGAAGAACACTCTCTGTAAACACGGCTCTTCTTCTTCTCTCAATTTATTGGCAGATCACAAACAACTTCCAGGTGCATACCACCACCTACTGTACAAGAGACTACTCCCTACTACATGTCATTTAGCCTGTTTCTTAAATCCTACTCGTAAACATGGCTCCTCTGTGGCTCCTCTGGCTCTTCTGTGGTTTAATGGCTGCGGGCCGCTGCGGGCGTGCAGACTTACTTCCGCCTCCGGGTGTTGTATTCTGGTTTGCTGACTTCCGCTGTGTCAAACCCGACCGAGGCTACGCTAAATAGCCATATAGAGAAAGGCTTTTTTGTCACTGTTGGGTTCAAATAAATATGCGGATCTTCAAGGGGGGGTGATGCGAACTAGGGACAGTTTTATAAATGGTAAAAAGTTCCGCACAGCTGCTTTAAGTGTGCTGAAGTCCGGACATTTGGATTCAGCCAGAATTGTGAATGGATGAGGACAAAGAAAGTCTTCCTGATTGAACATATGCTGAACTTCATTTCAGCCTGTTGTTTTCCAATCTTCTCTTGCCCTACAACCCAACAAGCAAAGCAGGGGACATGGGTTAGTACAGGCAGAATCAATTCTGTTTGTTTAAACCACATTTAAAAGGAAAAAAAAGGATTTTAACACTGTAAAAAGTGAGGTACAAATGACTGTGAGCATCATATCAAGGGAATAATATCAGTAAATTCAGACTTTACTTATCCCATGTGAATGCGCTGCATGAAACACAGATGTTGGGGGGGGATTTGTAAATCACATGAGGTCTCCTAATAATACTAGTCCTGTGTGACTAGGGCTTGAGAAAGTATATTATTTTCTCTTGCCGGCTGTCACAGTGATCTCAGTAATGAAATGTTTTCGTGTGTGATAACAGGCTGTCAGTCGACGTTACTCATTTAAAACCTCACTGAACATTTGTCATGATGTGTTTTGGAGGCAGGTGTTTGCATTCACATCTGTAAGGATGTGATGTATCAGTCTAATCTGCTACGAAAAGCTCTTTTGAAGTTGAGAAGGTCACAGACAGTATCACATCTCCTTTTTGTCTTCACATGTTTGATATGATTAGAGCATGAGGAGGCCCTGAAACATTTAGTGACTGTGCTGCAGCACCACCTAGTGTTTGATCCACGGCAGTTACAATAAAATGACAACTGGTGTGTTACTTTGTGTGTGAGGAGAATAAATGTTTAAAAACCTTTGACAGCTAATTAATTCATCAGGATGCTCACTTAAAGAAACAGCCCAGAGGACGGCGTATCAAATTCAACTTTTAGAATACTAATGAAATGGGAATTATTTTGATAATGTTGCGCCGATAGCTGAGTGATGAATCGCCCTCTGAATAATTGATGACCACATTAGTTTAATCTTTTTCTGTTTGCTGTTCTGCTCTCACAGTTTAGGAGAGTTGAGTAATGAGGCTTCATGCGGCTGTTTTTTCTTTACTGGATCTTTTTTTGTCACCTTCTGCAGACCCCCACTTCCTTAACAACAAGGAGATGTCTGACGTGACGTTCCTGGTGGAGGGGAAACCGTTTTATGCACATAAAGTTTTGCTGTTTACAGCTTCACCCAGGTGAGGAGGAGTTTTGCTGTTTATTGGTGCATGTTTTTATTTTGTTTTTTATGACACAGCTGTAATAAACGCCGTGATTTCTTGTGTTGCGTTCAGGTTCAAGTCACTGCTCCAGAACAGACCAGCAGCAGAGAACACCTGTATTGAGATCAGCCATGTCAAGTACAATATTTTCCATGTAAGAATTTTATTATCATCTAAAACCACTGTTATTAAGTACTAGATGTCGTGTGTGCAGATCAGACCTGTGAGTAAACAACGACATTGATGCTGTCAACTGAGCACTGTGCTGCTCTGTGTTTCAGCTGGTCATGCAGTATCTGTACTGCGGAGGCACCGAGTCTTTGCACATACGCAACACTGAAGTCATGGAGGTAAGACAGACTTAACCAAAGCCTGCTGAGCAACAGTGCAAGTATTAGCATTTCTAATCCCGAGTCCTGTGCCTCATTCTGTGTGGCTGTACTGTTCCCTGCAGCTCCTGTCTGCAGCCAAATTCTTCCAACTAGAGGCCCTTCAGAGACACTGTGAGATCATCTGCTCCAAGAACATCACCACAGAAACCTGCGTGGACCTCTACAAACATGCCAAGGTGAGATGCAAACAGAACAATAAATACTAAAGACAACAATAAAGTATATATATGTATATACAGTCAGGTCCATAATTATTTGGACAATGATACAGTTGTCGTCATTTTGGCTCTGTACACCACCACAATGGGTTTTAAATGAAACAATGAATACCTGCTTAAAGTGCAGACTATCAGCTTTCATTTAAGGCTTTTTTCAAAAATGTAGTATGAACCGTGTAGGAATTACAACCATTTCTTCACACAGTCCCCCAACTTTAAGGGCTCATAAGTATTTGGACAAACTAACATAATCATCAATTAAACAGTCAGTTTTAATACTTGGTTGCAAATCCTTTACAGTCAATGACTGCCTGAAGTGTTGGACACATAGGCATCATCAGATGCTGGGTTTCTTCCCTGGTGATGCTCTGCCAGCCCTTTACTGAAGCCGTCTGCACTTCCTGCTTGTGTTTTGGGTGTTTTGCCCTCAGTTTTGGCTTCAGCAAGAGAAACGCATGCTCAGTTGGATTCAGGTCAGATGATATGACTTGGCCATTGCAGAACATTCCACTTCTTTGCCTTAAAAATGTCTTTGGTTGCTTTTGCAATATGCTTCAGGTCAATGTCCAACTGCACTGTGAAGCATCGTCCAATGAGTTTTGAAGCATTTGGTTGAATCTGAGCAGATAATGGTGCCCCAAACACTTCACACTTTCATCCTGCTGCTTTTGTCAGCAGTCACATCATCAATAAATACAAGAGAACCAGTTCCACTGGCAGCCATACATGGCCATGACATAACAGTACCTCCACCATGCTTCACTGATGAGGTGGTGTGCTTTGGATCATGAGCAGTTCCTTCCCTTCTTCCTTCTCTTGTCTTCCCATCATTCTGGTAGTTGATCTTTGTTTTATCTGTCCAAAGTATGCTGTTCCACAACTGTACAGGCTTTTTAGATGGTTTTTGACAAACCCTAATCTGGCCTTCCATTTTTAAGGCTAACCAATGGTTTGCATCTTGTGATAAACCCTCTGTATTTATTCTAGTGAAGTCTTGTCTTGTTTACAAGAGCAGCAGGATGAAAGCTGAAGTGTTTGGGGCTACATTATCTGCTCAGATTCAACCAAATGCTTCAAAACTCATTGGATGATGCTTCACAGTGCAGTTGGACAATGACCTGAAGCATATTGCAAAAGCAACCAAAGACATTTTTAAGGCAAAGAAGTGGAATGTTCTGCAATGGCCAAGTCATATCATCTGACCTGAATCCAACTGAGCATGCGTTTCTCTTGCTGAAGCCAAAACTGAGGGCAAAACACCCAAAACACAAGCAGGAAGTGCAGACGGCTGCAGTAAAGGGCTGGCAGAGCATCACCAGGGAAGAAACCCAGCATCTGATGATGCCTATGTGTCCAACACTTCAGGCAGTCATTGACTGTAAAGGATTTGCAACCAAGTATTAAAACTGACTGTTTAATTGATGATTATGTTAGTTTGTCCAAATACTTATGAGCCCTTAAAGTCGGGGGACTGTGTGAAGAAATGGTTGTCATTCCTACACGGTTCATACTACATTTTTGAAAAAAGCCTTAAATGAAAGCTGAGAGTCTGCACTTTAAGCAGGTATTCATTGTTCATTCATTTAAAACCCATTGTGGTGGTGTACAGAGCCAAAATGATAACAACTGTATCATTGTCCAAATAATTATGGACCTGACTGTATATAAGTTTTTATATTAACAGTGGATCAAATGACTGCTTGTATCTGAAAGTGTTTGCTCATAGTGATGAACCCGCAGAGAGTTACCACACGACTCTGCAGTTTCCTCGGCTCCACCGAGCGTTTAATGTGTGTCATTGTTTAGGTTTTACAGCCCATAACTTAATTGTTTTGGTTCTGTTTGGGTGATCTTATTGTTGTTTTCAGCAACATCAGGCAGCTTCATTCAGCAAAATAAAATCTATCAAAGAGCAGAGAAAGTTAGTAACTAGCTAGTGAACACAGAAGTGCCTACATGTACCAGAGTGCATTGCGTCTCAGCGCTGCTGGTCTGGGTTGTCTTTCCAGAGTATCTTCAGGATCCTAAGGAAGGTCTCGAGCACCTCTGTCCAAGTGAGGAGCAAAACTCTCATGCGTAGTAACACACACATGGGCTCTTCGCTCAAAAAGATACAGATTAAGAGCTGGTGCATCCTGTCTGGTCAGCTTAGTTAGTTTACATGAGTGCCGGAAAAAAAAAACGAGCAATGTTTCTGCTTCCTGTGTGGTACTGGTGTAATGCAGCTCCTCTATGCTGCATTTCTTTGGCCATATATTCTGGCTCAAATTAATATGGCTGGATATTGTTGGAAATTGAGCTAGTTTGCAATACAAGTGAAAGACCAAGGAAGTTCTGTTTCTGAGCTACATTTAGTGCACAACCTCTGGCTGCCCAGAGGCAAAATCCAACCTGTTCAGGACTCCCATGGATCCCCAAAAAGTCTTAATAGGCATTGAATTCATTCATTTAAAAATAACTCCATAATTGGTATTAAAATGTATTAAATTAATCTTTTAAATGCTGAGACATGAGAAGTATGATTTTACAAGTCGTTTTTTTTCTTACGTTGCATTGTCACATCTCAAAATAATTGGTAACATTGATATTTCCTAAATGATGTACCGAATGCCTCTCACGTTAATTTAACACAGATCAGGAAAGTTGAACCAGCAATCCTCATGTTTTGTTTCTGGTTGGGATGCTCAGAGCAGAAGATCCATTGTCTGCTAGCCAGCTGTCACTGTACCCTGGACCAGTGGTTCCCAACTGGTCCAGATTTCTCCTTAGTCATTAATTCAAGGTCCACACATACTTGGCAAAGTTATTCCTGACCCTAAGTGATTGGTTCATGTTTTTTTTTTCCATTTAATTTCATGATTGTAAAATTGATCTTAAAGGGATAGTGCACCCAAAAATGAAAATTCAGCCATTATCTACTCACCCATATGCCGATGGAGACCCTGGTGAAGTTATAGAGTCCTCACATCCCTTGCGGAGATTGGCAGGGGGAGCAGCTAGCACACCTAATGGCTGACGGCGCCCCAGACTAACATCCAAGAACACAAAATTGAAACCACAAAGTATCTCCATACTGCTCATCCGTAGTGATCCAAGTGTCCTGAAGCCCCGACATAAAAAGTTGTTTCGAAAAACGTCATATGAACTCTGTTTTTAGCCTCACTGTAGCCTGTAGCTCTGACTGCTTCTCTGTGCTCCGTGTTCACGTGTACGCGCTCAGGGTGATCGGTGATGCACGGTCTCTGAAGAGCAGCAGTCTCGTCAGTCCTGATGTCCAGATTCTCAAGTGCAGGCATCGCCAATTTCCAGTCTGAGCAGCAAAGACTTTCCTCATCCGTTGGCATTGCTTTGCATTTGAAACAACTACACCACCAGGTTTCCAGTGCTCGACTCCGGTATTCTGCGGCTGGCTGAGGGTTAGGCTCATGAGCTGTGGCGGCTGCGTCGTCCAGTAGCCTGAGTTCCACGTCCGTATACTCGGGCTCAAACAAATACGGCTCAACAAAGAAATGCTGTTCCTCCTCAATTTCAAATTCTTCAGACATGTTGGGCTGTCCTTTGCTAAAAGACCGTAGTGCAAATTATCTTTTAGCTCTGTGGTTACCGTTGTCTCTCCCTGCAGTGCATGTGTCACGTGATGTAAACACAGGTAAGCAAAGCTCATGCTTTCGCTGATCTTGCGCAAGCACGCACACGTGAGCGCGGACACAGAGAAGCAGTCAGAGCTACAGGCTACAGTGAGGCTAAAAACAGAGTTCATATGACGTTTTTCCAAACGACTTTTTATGTTGGGGCTTCAGGACACTTGGATCACTACGGATGAGCATGTTGGAGATATTTTGTGGATTCAATTTTGTGTTCTTGGACGTTAGTCTGGGGCGCCGTCTGCCATTAGGTGTGCTAGCCGCTGCCCCTGCCGATCTCCGCAAGGGATGTGAGGACTCTAAAACTTCACCTGAGCCTCCATCGGCATATGGGTGAGTAGATAATGGCTGAATTTTCATTTTTGGGTGCACTATCCCTTTAAATTTTATTCCGAGTGGCATTAGAAAAAAGTCTTAAAAATTCATAAATCTAATTTGCTTGTAGAAGCCCTGCTAAAGTTCTTCTTGCCTCCAGCTACGTCACTATCATGTTTCACGTTTCATGATGATCTGTCATTGTCTCCCCATCATCTGTTTTTACTGTAGTTCCTTGGTGCCTCGGAGCTCACGGCTTTCATCGAGGGCTATTTCCTGAAGAACATGGTGCTGCTGATCGAACTCGACGGCTTCAAGCAGCTGCTGTACGAGCCTCCGCCGGCAGAGAGCCCCGCGTCCAGCCCCGGCATCTGCTCCGACATCCTCCTCGACCTGGAGAGAACTCTGGCCACACGCATCCACTCCATCCACCTCTCCACCTCCAAGGGCTCCGTGGTGTGACGCCATGCTCTGCCGAGAGCCCTCCGATCCAGGCACAGCATCCATGTAACACCGACATCCAGTGCCATGCTACACAGCCCCGTCCACCTGTCCTGGCCCCGCCGCTGAAGAGGGGCTGTCGGATGTTTTTATGTCAGGGATTCCCTTTAATTCTGCCGGTCGCGGCCGCACCTGAGGGTTAAAGTTACAAAAATCAGAGAGAACTTTGTGTTGTTCTTGAACTCTGTCGTCCTAAAGGCTCCCACTGATCACGTCACACCCCACAGCAAGAAAAACTATCAAAAAAAAAAAAGACCCAGCAGTATCACTTAGACCTAATTGTGATTATGAAACTTATTGTATTTCATATAGGACACATGCATGGAATACATTCTGTACACCTTTTTCGCTTAAAAAGGTAGAGTAGAATTTTAACTCAATAAATGCAGCTTTCTCATCATCTCCGATATGAGACGTTAGGTTTACACACTCGTGGAAGTGGACGCCATCGCAGTATACAGTTTGACACATGCCAAAATATAATCCTACTATACAACCAATAAAAGTGACTCGTAGCAATGCCAGCAGACGGACTTTAGGTGGACTTCTTTACATTCTGTCACTTCTATGTTGGATACGTTTCACTGTGTTCTATATCTACTGTGTGCAGAGGCCAAACTGATCACAGGAACTTCCACCGTGGCCGACGCTGCAGCGCTGATTAAACTAAAGTCGGCCCACTCAGTGAAATCTATGCTGACGTATGCTTGAAACACGGATGTCCAACTGGGAAATTAACTCCACGAACACTGTCGGCTTTTTTTTTCTTTCTTTTTTCTTTTTGCATGACACCTCCTCAACTGAGCTGCCCTGATATTGCTTTTTATGCAGAGCTTACTTCACGGACCGAAGGGGAAGTAAGGGCAAAACGCTGCTTATTAACTTTCTATCCACTGCAAAACTGACTGAGCGGGATTTTGGAGATGGATTTCGATTGGCAGGGACTTTCTCTTTAAAGATATTTAAGTGTAAATATGTCCTTAAAGTCATCGTGCTGGTCGTTCTTTTTTTTTTTTTTTGTAAACTGATGTACAGTATTCTCCTACACGCGCTTGGCTGACGACACCAGTCTCATTGAATGTGCTCCCCGGACCGTTTGTTCCTGCTGTATGTGTCCGTTTATGCAAAAGTTGCATGTTTGACCTGTTTGTTTGAATCCTCTGTTTCGCTTTCGGTGTGCTTTCTGTGTAGGTCGGCAGGGCTGAGCTGGGTGTTGGTTGTTCCAGGTGAAGTCCAGTCAAAGGTTGTTCCCGTCAGTTACTTTGCTGTTTCTGAAACATTCCAGATGATCAGGGTAGGTCGCCACCAGGATGCATCTTTAAAGTCACCTTTTGTCAGCGGAGTTTCTCAAGAACATCAGTTCTGTGAATGAAAGGTTGAATTTCCACACACTGTCTGTCAGTGCTGAGTTTATTAGAGACAAAACAATGTTACGGGACTCACGGAGTAACGTTACATCCCAGCCACCTGTTTGCGTGCACGTTTTGAATTTGCACATCCCATAAATTCTAAAAAACACTTTTTAGTTTTCACGGCATGGAAATGTTGGTCAGTTATAGTCGATTCAAGCAAAAAGAAAAGTTTTGAATGGGCACTGCACTCCAATTTTACAATACCAACCTGTCCATTCTACTTCCAGTACCCATGTCTGTCCGTAGTCACTTTTCTTCTTTTAGTGCTCTCCAGTGAGGAAGAGCTACACCAATGGTTATGCATATTTGTCCTCACCGTCAACCGCTTTCTTTTTACTTCTTACTTTAATTTTACTTTAACTTTTTACACCAAGCAACTTGTAAAATTTATGCAACAGTAGGTGGTGAGAACGCGTAATTATTAGCATTTTCTTGAGCTGATTTTAATGGAAATAAATTAAAATGTGGGCTGAATTTAGACGGAAACTTTGCTACAGTTGGAGCTCTTCTACAGCTTTTAAGCGACTTAACTCCACCAGGTGAATCATCTGTACAAAATTAACAACTATTCTAAAACATAACAGCTAGTTTTTTAATAAAAAGTTATAGTAACATAACAACTGAAGGTGGGCTTAAAATTCTGTTCAACTGCACCCTTTACGATGGATAGAATCTTACGTTTACAGTGTTGAATAAACCACAACCTGCAGCTGAAATTAATCACTTTGAATGTCCAATTCTAGATGAATTCTGCAACTGATGTGTCAGAGAATTTAAATCTGCTGCTCTAATGTGTGCCTCTGACTGGCAGCCAGCTTCTGCTTAGAGTAGCCTGTTAATCATGATTAGCCCAAAGCTCACCTGTGTAGAAGTCATGCTGTGTAAGCAGCAGCTTGATGTGCCTCACCTGTCAGGAGCAGGGCGTGTCTTGGAAAAGGAGAAGAGCTCATTAACACAGTAAGTTAGTCTTTTGTATTCATAAAATAAAAGTGTGACATCTTGAAGTTTAAACTTGTGAAGAATGTGAGCCAAAAGAGAAGCGTTTTATTTTTCGACAACACAAATAAATAGGATCATTTTAAGTTCTGTGTTTCTTTGTTAAAGGTCCGGTGTGTAGGTTATAGGGAGATACATATTGGCAGAAATTAAATATAATATGTTTCTTTAGTGTTTCATCACCGTCGTTACCTTAGAATGAGTTGTGTACAGTCAGGGAGCACGTCCTCGTCTACGAAGACTGCCGTGTTGCACTTTCGACAGCAGCTCAGAAAGACAAACCAAGCTCTAGATATGGTCGTTTGTGTTTTCACGTCAACCATGCAGCCCCTCCATGACAAGCAGCATCAGAAAAACACCGATTTTTTTATGTTAAACTGCTTTATTCAGTGTTTTTACCTGTTTATTTTTATTTTTTTGCAAAGGTTTATTTTTATTAATAGACGCTCAAATTACAGTGCGGGAGCAGTTCCTAAAATAAGCCATGTTTCCATTTGTGCGTTTGAAAATATTTTAAAAAGAGAAAGTAAAAGGACAAAGATACTTAGCCAGAAACATAAATGAAGAGACAAAAAGCAAAAACCAAAGAAGACAAAGAAAGAAATATTTAAATTAAATATGAGGATACTATTCCTTAAATATAAACAGAGAGGATGTGCTGAAACTATATCTTAGGACATTTTGATGTACAAACATATATTGATAAATTCACGAATGAATCAGAAATGATCAAAGTTTTCACCTGTTTAAGTCACCGGGTCTGTTTGTTTAGGAGAGAAGGAGACCTATGGGGGCAATTTGGCCTCCCGCTAAAAACCACCTTAGTGTCTGGATTGTAAGTTATCAGAGAAAAAGGATGAGCACACATTATCAGGTGTCTGCGAACAAAATAGGAGAAACACTGATTTTAAACGTGACACTGATTTATTCAGTGTTTTTACTGGTTTAAATCACCTGGTCCATTTGTTTAGTAGAGGAAGACACCGTGCGGATAATTCGGTTTCTGGTAAAAGGCAAGGCAAGGCAAGTTTATTTGTATAGCACAATTCAACACAAGGTAATTCAAAGTGCTTTACAGAGACATTAAAAGCAACAAGACACAATTTAAAACAATAAAAACAGTCAATTAAAAAGGGAAATAGAAATTGAGAATGATAGTGATAATAATAAAATACAGTAACATAAAATAAAAACAGGCTCAATACATTGAACAGTCAGGATAAGAAAAGAAGTAGAATAATAAAAGGCATAAATCAGCAGTGTGTAGTTAAAAAGTACGGGCAGTAGAATACAGCAGGTAAGTATTTAATCTAAGAGTACGCTTCAGTAAACAATAGTGTTTTTAGCCCTGATTTAAAGGAGCTGACAGTTTGAGCAGACCTCAGATCTACAGGAAGTTTGTTCCACAGGTGAGGAGCATAATAACTGAATGATGCCTCACCTTGCTTGGTTCTTGTTCTTGGAACACACAACAAACCAGTTCCAGATGATCTAAGGGGTCTGGATGCTTCGTAGGGAACCTGTAGATCAAGCATGTATTTTGGTCCGAGACCATTTAGGGCTTTGTAGACCAGCAGTAAGATTTTAAAATCTATTCTTTGACTCACAGGAAGCCAGTGTAGCGATTTAATGACCGGTGTAATATGGTCCAGTTTCCTGGTGTTTGTAAGGACTCTGGCGGCAGCGTTCTGAATCAGCTGCAGCTGTCTGATTGATTTCTTGTTAAGGCCTGTAAATAAGCCATTGCAATAATCCAACCTACTAAAAATGAATGCATGAACAAGTTTTTCCATGTCTTGTTTAGACAGAAACCCCTTAATTCTAGCTATATTTTTCAGGTGGTAATGGGCAGATATAGTAATAAACTTTAAATGGCTGTTGAAGTTCAGGTCTAAGTCAATAATAACACCAAGATTTCTGGCTTGATTTGTAGCTGTCAGTGACATAGAGCCAAGGTGGGCGCTGATCTTTGCCCTTTCATTTCTAGGGCCAAAAATTAATACCTCTGTCTTTTCTGGATTTAGCTGGAGAAAATTCTGGCACATCCAGTCATTGATTTGATGAATACAGTTACTCAATGAGAGTAAGGGACTGTAGTCATGTGATGACACTGAGATATAGAGTTGTGTGTCGTCGGCATACATATGATAGGAGATGTTGTGATGTTCCATAATCTGGGCTAGGGGTAGCATATAGATGTTGAATAGAAGTGGTCCGAGAATGGACCCTTGAGGAACCCCACATGTGATCGTAGTTCGCTCAGATTCATGGTTACCAATTGACACAAAAAGTCCCTATCTTGTAAGTAAGATTTGAACCATTGTAGCACAGTGCCGGTGAGTCCCACCCACTTTTCCAATCTGCTAAGTAGTATATTATGATCAACTGTATCAAATGCACCTCCTGAACAATGAACAATGAAGGAATTCTAACCAGGAGAAGCCTCAGCTGGTTGCAATGCGCAATCCTCACCACTAGATGCCACTAACTCCCCCTAAACCGTACACATTCTGCCTTTAAATAACATCAAGGAGATCTCAAAGAGCTCCCTGCACATCGCAGCTCCATGGATCTTCATCAGTCATCAAATCAAATTCCCAGTGTGAAACAACACATCTTTACTAAAGCCAAAAACAGCAGGACACCTGAGATGATTACCACATCAGTGAGTGATTAAAAAACAGCAGATTCGACAGTAACCAGTCCAAGTCCACTTATCCTGTTGGGGGTCTAACATTGGTTGAGAGGCAGGGTTCACCCTGGACAGGTCACCAGACTATCACATGGCTGACACATAGAGACAGACTACAATTCACACTCACATTCACACCTACGGACAATTTAGAGTCACCGATTAACTGGAGCACCTGGAGACCAGCCGAGTTTCATTTATATTCTGTGTGTTTTGACAGATATTGTTTGTCCCATTCTGGTGTTTATCAATTATTAATGTGGGAGCTGTTTCAGGCGTTTTGAGATTTGTCTCAGGTGTGTGAGATTTCACTCCTATTTTTTATTGGCTGCTGCAGCCTGCGGCTTTAGTATAAAGATGTGTTGCCTCATCTTGGGAATCAGACAAACTTCCAATGCCCAAAACGTTGTGTCTCTGTTAAACTCAGTGCAGAAATTCAACCTTTTATTCCACTTGATTTTCATTTTCATCAGATAAAACTTATAAAACCTAAAAAGGACCAAATATTAAATGAGCAGCACCCCTGATGTTTGACGTTACCATGACCCCTCCCACTCAGACACATCTTAAATCAGGAGCAAATCATAGAGTGCATTATCTGAATGTAACAATGCAACAAAGGTTTAATATTTACAAAACGTGCAATATCTACAGTCCAGCAACAAACCAAAAAAAAAAAGATGCTTCCCTCTGTTTCCAGTGGCTCACAGTGCAAACGTCTCTGAAGTGTCCTCATAGTTTGTGATGTTGTTTCTGCATTAATCCGACTGTACCTTCAGACAACAGACCAATCTTAAAAATATTGTAGCACACTCAAAATTTACTTCAATATTTGTTTTGGGCCAAAAGAAAAAACATTTCCAGAGAAACATACAGGCATATAAGAGTTGGTTTTAAGTTCTGTAAATAGTTACAGAAATATAGATACTATCCTACGACTTTATTTTCTTACCTACATACATAGCACTATATATTTTATTTTACATTCCACAGCTATTTTGTTTTACAAAAGTGAAAAAGATTATATAAAAAGATGCTTTAAAGTTTTGAAATTAAGCAATATTTCCATCAGACTGTATTACTCTGAGGACTACAGGGAATAATACGCCACAGGACGTGGAGCTACAATATAAATGTGAATTGAAAGACACTTAACAGCGACTAACAAGTGACTGAAACAAAGCCTGGATACGTGTTTATATTCTTGTGACATCCCATGGTGTATTTTATTTTAAATGTCTTTCACGCATTTTAAAGGTCCAGTGTGCAGGATTGAGGGGGATATACTGGGATATATTAGTGTATTATTGCCTGATAATAAGAGTTGTTGTGTTCTTGCTACCTGAGAATGAGATGTTTATATCTACATAAGGAGCAGGTCCTTGTTTGTAAAGATCGCCATGTTGCACTGCCATGTTTCTACAGTAGCCCAGAAGGGACAAACCAAACGCTGGCTGAGGATAGGGCCAATTGGGTTTTCTCATCGGCCACCATAGTTAGCAGCCCCTCCACAGTAGCTATGTTTCCATCCAAAAGTGATTTGAATCATTGGGAAATGTGCATTAAAAGAAATACGAATCCTGTGTGTTTCCATTAAATGTACGGACTTTGGTGAAAACTACGAACTCGTGCGAGTTTTCCGCAGAACCGGAAACAAAACAAGTCTCGCATTCTTCTTCTTCTATGTTTCCTGGCGGGTGGCAACCAGCTTGTAAATGCATTACCGCCTTCCCAACCCGGAGTGTGGATATCACCATGGAGAGAGGTGCGCTACGTCAGACTTAATTCGAACATAACTGTTTCCATCCCCCGTTTTGCGAATCAGCATTTTTTCAAATCAACCAAAACCCGGCTAAAACGAGCGTATTTTAGTTTGTGAGAATCAGGGGATTTTAATTCGAATTTTGGCGTTTCCATCATAATTTTCCAATGCGATACTAAAACAGGCTGATGACTTAAACATGGCTATTGAGAGCATCAGAAAAAGCGAAACAGTGAAACTACTTTATTCAGTGTTTTTTACCGGTTTAAATCACCGAGTCCAAGACCTCTGCGGATAATTTGGCTCCCATTGAAACCCTTCTAAACATCTGGGGCTGGTTGCACTGAGAACCTTGACTTAAGATCTTCCTTAAAGTCTGAGATAACGTTTCCTTGAGATAGAATTAGTTGCAAAAAACATCCTTAAGTCCTCTTCTTAAGGTTTCCTTAAAGTGTTTACGTAGCGATTTAAGTTTTCCTCATTATCTAGGATTTGTACTTGAGGAATTGCTCATAGTTTGTTAAACTTTTGGACTTTTGTAACAGAAGTAAAGACAAAAACATCATGTACCTCTGGCTCCATTTTAACGTCGCTGACTTAATGGAGATAAATGGAAAAAAAAAGGCTTCCTGAGAAGAGTGTTCCCTGTGCAAATGATTTTGTGCTATAAATTTGACAGGAAGTCAATATATGATTGTGACCATCTGGGGTTGGATCATCCAACTTTCCGAAGCTGCACTCTTCCAGCCTCATTACAATTAATGATTGGTCTGTGGTTTAATGCAACAGGCTCTTTCAGTTATTTATTGGCGAGGTATTTCATGTCAGCCTTAAGTGTCATACTTAAGGAACAAACTTAAAGTGTTTTGTGCAACCAGCCCATGGAAGTTATTCGAGAAATAAGGCGAGCTGCCTGTCTCCGACACTGAAACACCGATTTGTGACGTGAAATTGCTTTATTCAGTGTTTTTACTAGTTTTAATCACCTGGCCATTTGTTCTGGAGAGGAGAAGACCTCTGTGGAAAAACTGGCTCCCAATGAAAACCTCTCAAACGTCTGGATATAAAGTTATTCGAGAAAAAAGGCTAGCACACAGTAGCAGGTGCTGGGCTAGCTGCCCGTCTCCAAGGAGCCGAACAGTGTCAGAGAACCACCGATTTGTAACATGAAAGTGCTTTATTCAGCGTTTTTATTGGTTTTATTCACCTGGTCTGTTTGTTTTGGCGAGGAAGAGACCTCTTTGGATAATTCGTCTCCTGGTCAAAACATCCTGAATGTCTGGATAAGAAATAAGGCAAGCATGGAGTCTCATTTATAAACACTGCGTTCGCACAAAAAGAGGCTTGAAAGAGCCATACGCCACTTCCCACGTGAAGGTTGCGATGTATGAAAACAGACTCGATGGGAGAAACTTTGACCCATGCTTACAGGTGGTAGAAATTGTTGAATATTTTTTGCCGCACACCTTTTTTGGCGTTTGTTTATGCGTACATTCCTAGTAGGGATCCTACGCACTGTTTTATGAGACCCCATGTCTGTTGGTTTCGGAGAGGAGGAGACGTCTGTGGATGATTTGGCTCCTGGTGAAAACCTCCAGAACAATGAAGGAATTCTAACCAGGAGCAGTT